GTATTTTTTATACAAATTGATCGGGTTGATTGGAAATCCTTCTTCAAGTATGGTGAAACTTCTCAATTTCTCGGTTTTAGTGTCTGGCAAAACTACGTGAAAATATTTCCATTTGTCTTGTTTTGGCCTAGGCCGATAAAAAATTTTATGAGGCAAGTAATTAGTTCGATTTTTTCTCGCTAGGGGTATTGTTTTAACAACCTAAACCTTTTCTACCTGTTAATGTTTAATATCTTTCATTGAATTATTGTAAAATTAAATATGAATAATAAAACAAAAAGTGAGGTTAGGCAACCAAGAAAACGCACGATTCTTTTTCTACGATTTAAGTTTTAATTTGATTTAAGTTTTCAGTGAAATTAAATGTTAAACACAGCCTAAACATTCCAAACTACCCATTTTTTAAATAAAAATCCAAAAAAATTGAAATTAGATACCTACCTATTTATTAAACAATTAATTGAATTCAATGTAATAGCAAAAATCCATTTCTACTTAAATCATGTTGCTAGGTATTGTCAAACTATTACTGCTTTTAAAAGCAATAATAGTTATTGTACATTTAATGTAATCTTTAGCTAATAAATAAATGATATTCTAAAAAAGTGAGGTTAGGCCGCTTTGATGTTGAATTAAATTGACCTATGTATATAAAGTGCTTTGAAGATGAAATGTTGTATGCCATTCGGCCAAGAAGAGCCTTTTTGTGCTTCAAACCTTGAGCTTAGCACAAAAAGCCTTACTTCTTAACCTAATGACATAAATAACTATTATTGTATACTTAAAATAACGGGTCACCCTAAATATAAAGTTTTTACCTATTTACATATATACTTGATAGATATACTCGTATTGCTACAACAACAATAATTTTAGATCTTTGCAATAAATGTATTTCATCCTATTTTTAGGTTTTCATATAATGTTTTTTCATAGAATGTAGCTAATATTTGCGCCAATTTGTTAAACCAAAGTTATTTGCTTCAAGACTATATTTGTAAACCATAAAATTATGCAATAGGCAAATGCCCAGCCTAAAATCCTATAAGAGCCTATTAATTTTCAAAATGTTAGTGCATGTGCTATCGTTGAATTTTATTGCTTTTATTATTTATGCTTTTAATTACGCTTTATAACTCCTCATATATCGAATATTACATATCTTAGAAGAATTTACAAGAATCACTATTATAAATTCTATGAATCATATATAGCTAAATATAGGTAGAAAATATATCGATACTCTTGGACAATAAACAACTACTAAATCAGTATTTCAAATGGCATTTGGACTAGAGCTTAGAAAGCCTACAATATTTTAAACATACATACAAGCAACATAAAAGCAATACACAAATCACGCAATTTTTAACGTTTATAAACGAGCTCGTATTTCAAACCGCTGTTGACCGGCTGGATATTTGATAAGAGGCCCAGTTTCTTCAGAAGGTTATGCAACGGACAAGGGACAATGTCGAGACCGGTACCACAGACTTTTGATGTAAATTATACTTTATATGTAACGCAAAATAAAATTTACTAGATAGACACAACGTTAAAAACGTAATAAAAATATTTAACTAAATATTTAAGATTTGTGATACTCTTTAAACTTTATTAGTCAAAAATTACTAATTTAATACTTATTATTGGCTGCTTTTTCACTTTTACCATAGCTAACCATGGAATACCATGTACCAGTTTTTGAGATATAGTCATATTTCCATTTAATATGGAATTGACTATATCTCAATAACTGCTCCAATTTCATAATTTCTAACGGTATTTTCGGATTCAGGGGACAATTTTACATAACAGAATTGGCTGTTAAATTTTGGGATACCATGTATTAATTAGTCATTTTTGACTAATTAAATGTAGTGGTTTATAAGAAATTAGTTAGTATAAAATATGAACTTAAAATAGTAGATTATTATATGAGAGATTATGCAAGCTATATTTTACGAGGATAATGTTTGAATCTATACTGTCCGTAAGTTTGAATTCCAATAACTGTTGTTAAAAATTATCGGATCTTATTAATTTAAAAACCAAGTGAAAGCCAAACAAGCAATTAGTAAACTCTTTCAGAAAATTTTTGTTTAGTTATTTCAGAATAATTTTTTTTTAATTTTGAAACTTGTGAAACACACATTTTCGCATGTCCCTTTAGCGTTTTATAAAACTTACATACATGTAACATAACATCCTTAGTTAATACAGTAAACAATTTATATATAAAATAATTAATTTTAATCTACTTTTCTTAAATTTGACTCATGTCCCATATATTTTTTCCGTTGCGTTACGTCCGATAGAATATTAAAAAAACATATATGTATATGGCAACTTTTTTGGCACTCACGTGATCAACAAATGATGTTCGAACGTACACATTACCCAGCTGAATTTATTTATTCAATCAGGAAGAAGATATCGGTTGAAATAGGTGCGGGTAAAGCGAATGTAATAATTGTTTGTCCAGTAAGTTACTCAAAAAAATAATAAAAATAAGGTAAGAAAAAATACTATTTTTTATGTTTATGTTTATTTTAGGGCACTAAAGCTCATTGAGAGTAATTTATGACTGTAATGTCTTAATATTATTTTTTAAATATGGTTTCACAAAAGTTTTTCCACTGCGTTACCGAGTCCATTATGTTACCTTATGGTAACGCAATGGAATTTAGGGTAACGCAATAGAATTTTTCGACAACAAAGTGAATATTTACCGTCGCTTTTATTAAAAGTAGTAGTATGATAAACCAATTTAAAATTATTTGTGATTACAACTCATGATATAGATTACATCCAAGGGAAAATTCCACGCAATATCCAAGCACCTATACAAGTCTAACAGCGTCACCAAATATTATACAGCTGTACCTCTCGCGTACAGTTACTAATTTTTATATAGTGCGATGGTGGTGTAATGGTCAGCATAGTTGCCTTCCAAGCAGTTGATCCGGGTTCGATTCCCGGCCATCGCATAACTTTTTTATTTTTTTAAAGCGTTGTTTTGTATTTTTAAAATCTTTTGCTTAAGCAATTATTGTCAATAAGTTTTTTCTTCCTTATTTCAATAATTATTATTATCTTTATTAGTTTTTTAATAATTTAAGCAGCTATCTGCATATTTGCCATTTTTTAAACTAGTCATAAAAAGGTTTTCTAAAAGAAAATTAACACATCAAAGACGAAAAATACATTTAAAACTATACAATTATTTACTGACTAACCCCTGGGCTTTTTTATATAATAATAATACAGGTTTTAAGATATAAAATAAGTTATTTGTGGCGGCTGGTGAATTTTGGGCAGACCCATATCTCAGTTATTAGACATGGGACCCACATCAAATTTATTTGAGTTTATAATGACATTATATAGACAAGTTCTGCGCAAGCAGAATTGAAATTGAAGTTTGCGAAAAAAAGTTAGTTTTTAAGTGTGCCCCCCAGCCTCCTGCCCCCCAAATTAAGATAATTCAAATTAAAGTGGTACGATATTTAATTCACTGAAGTTTATCAACAAATTTCAAATTTTATTAAAAAAATTCAAGTATTTTAGATTTTATACCATTTCAATTTTTTTTTTAATTTAGTAAAATAAATAATAAAAATTTAAAATGTAGTTTTTGAAATTTTTTAATAAAATTTGAAATTTGTCGATAAACTTCAGTGAATTAAATATTGTACCACTTTAATTTGAATTATCTTAATTTTGGGGGCAGGAGGCTGGGGGGCACACTTAAAAACTAACTTTTTTCGCAAACTTCAATTTAAATTCTGCTTGCGCAGAACTTGTCTATATAATGTCATTGTAAACTCATATAAATTTGATGTGGGTCCCATGTCTAATAACTTAGATATGGGTGTGCCCAAAATCCACCAGCCGCCACTGGTATAACATTGGTCTATAGATATGATGTAATATAATCTCAATTATTAAAAAGGTTTATGAACTTTTTTATTTAGTAAAAACGTCAAAAAACTTCGGAGCACATAATAGTCTGGTTACTGTTTAAAAAAAGTTTGTATACAAAATTTTTGACATGCTGAATTCTACATCAGAAAAGTGCATGAGCTTTTTTAATAATTGAGATTATATTACATCACATGATCATTTTTTTCACAAAACTTGTAACGCTATCGCTATGAATTTATTCAATATTCTTTCTCCTTTTCAAAAAGTCTTTAGTTGAAATTTATGAGTTTGATTTAGGTAAAACTTTATTCATTTCTATCATAAAAGTACTGTACTTACTATTTCTTAGTTAAAGATAATAAAAAACATCAAAAAAAGAGGAAGAGTGGTAATTTTATATGTGATAACCATTGATGTAAAAAAAACAATATATATGTAACAAACAGTGGCGGCTCGTGCCTTCCATGCTTGGGTTGCCTACCTGCCACTAGTGCCAGTGGAATGGTTTTTTTGCTCAAAAAATACAGTTAATCAAGTTCTACACTTTAAAACAAATCCGGTTAAAATCTCAAAATAAATAAAGATTTTACAGGGGTGAGTCGTAAACAAATGGGTCACTCTGTATGTGGACGTTATCAGTCGTATCAATAACGAAAAATCCTTATCAATAACAAATTTCTCTTAGCGACACGTTGGGCATGACTACCCTTGGGATTGTTATCCTTAGCGGTTAATTCGTAGGCAATTTTAAATTTAAAAAAATCAGTGGTTTACCCCTCGATTTCGCCTTACCTACTCAAACACATTAGGTACGCCACTGTATGGTACATATGAGATATAGGACAACTTTTCTTTCTATATTATAATCCAAGTATGTATCAATAAGACTTGCACCTAATTGGGTCATTGAGTAAAATTCAGAAGAAAACGCATTTTAAAAGATAACACAACATGCTTAAAACTTAATTATTTAAAAATACATAAACAAAGATATTTTTAAAACGACGTGGTTTAATCATGAACTTATCGTAAGTAAGTAAGTAAATAAAACAAACGCGATACCTTCATTTTATAATGCTACACAAAAGTGTAGAGACGTCAACATGTTTTTAAGTATTAAATTTACCTGTTTTATTTCTTTAATTATTGTTGAGTGTTTTGGTAAGAATATGGATGTTTTAATAGACTATTATGAACGTGAAATTAATAATATTGTGGAAAATGCAAAGAAATTTACCCCTGATAAAAATGCAGGAAGATACCGGCCGAAATCTGATGAAGTACAAGGTAATTTTAAATTTAAAAAAAATCCCCAAAAAAAAAACTAATAAATTTCTTGCAGATTATGGTAGTTTTGACTATATTGTTATTGGTGCTGGGACAGCTGGATGTGTCATAGCTAATCGCTTGTCGGAAATAGAGGATGTTCATATTTTACTTTTGGAAGCCGGTAAAAAATCCAGTGTTATCAATGAAATGCCCGCACTTTATGGTTTGGCTAGTTCTAGTGACTACAATTGGGGTTTTTATAGCACTCCCCAGAAATATGGATGCCAAGGTAAAAAAAGTAGTCATTCTATTAAATGCCCTCCTTAAAACTTTAATTTAACAACATTAGTGTGAGGATAAAGTAAATTAAATATTAGGCTGATTATAAACAAATTACTTATTAAAACATTCCTTTTAGTTATGATAACTTTATTATTAAATTTAAAATTTATATTAATATGTTTTAGGATTTACAAATCATTCCTGTGCCTGTCCTAGAGGTCGTGGAGTTGGAGGAACATCTTTGATAAACTTTATAATGTACTCAAGAGCAAATGAAAATGACTTCAAAAAAATCGCAAGAAAAACAAAAAGCGTTGATTGGGAATACATTAATGTTTTGGAATACTTTAAAAAATCAGAAAACTTTACAAAAACGAACAGTAAGGCAATTTATTATCCATATTTTCACGGAGAAAATGGATACTGGAGCGTGGAGAATAGTGAGAGTGGAAATCTTAGAAACGAACTATTCTTAAAAGCAAACCTAGAATTGGGAAATAAAATAACCGACTATAACAGTAGAGCTGAAGTTGGAGTATCATATACCCAAACGAACAAAAAACAAGGTAGGCGTGCCGATACTGGCTCTGCTTTTATAGAACCTATAATAAAAAGAAAAAATTTTAAGGTATCCCAGGAAAGCTATGTTATCAAAATAGAATTTGATCCTGCTACAAAAGCCGCTACTAGTGTTTTATTTACTAAAAAAGGAATACTGTATAGAGCCACATCAAGAAGAGAAATTATTTTATCAGCTGGGGCTTATCACTCCCCTCAAATCCTTCAACTATCCGGAATAGGAAAATCAGAGGAGTTAAAAAAATTAAATATACCCATAATTAGTGATTTATCCGTGGGTAATAATCTGCGTGATCACTTGGTGATGCCTATAACAATATCACATAATATGACAGATCCAAAATTAGACCTACGAACTGCTCTTAGACAGTATATTGATCATAAAGGTGTACTTGCTGGCAATGACGCAGAAATATTGGGTTTTTATGATACAAATAAAGGAAAGTATCCTGATTATGAGTTGGTGATGACACCGCAATCACCAAATCCCATAGAAGGTGTAAGTAGTTTAAAATATTCGACTGATGTACTTGAAGATATGTCAAATATTCCAGATCAGATTTTTGCTATAGCCAGCACTTTGCAAAATACTAAATCGGTTGGTTCAGTAAAATTACAAAGTAACTCACCGTACAATTATCCAGAAATAGATTTAAATATCCTTTCCAACGAACAAGACTTTGAAAGGCTTTACAGAATGATGAAACAAATTCAAATTTTGACGCAAACAGAGGCATTCAAAAAAATAAATGCTACAATAGTACCCCTAAAACTAAGAGACTGTGTGAAATATGAATATGATTCAAAAGAATATTGGTACTGTATCTTCAGAAAAATCGCTTTTTGTGGGTATCATCCAGTGGGAACTTGTGCCATGGGTCGTAACCCTAAAAAGGGGGCTGTTGTAGACCCTAAATTAAGGGTTTTTGGAGTCCAAAACTTGAGGGTTGCCGATGCTTCTATCTACCCATACCCACTTAGAGCTCACAATGCTGCCAACTGTGTTCTGGTTGGAGAAATTGCATCTGATTTTATTAAGGAAGATCTAAAGTTGGCCTAATTTATAATGTTCTTTTAATAAAATGAACAAATTATTATATTTTTTTTCCTTTTTTAAACTCACCATTTTTATAGTATTTTTTTAAACCTTATTGATAATATAAAAACAAACCCCAAAGCAATTTATTAGCCATATTTTAACAGAGAAAATGTATACCAGAGCGTCATTATTTGCTATAAGAGCGGCTGGTGCATTTTGTTTAATGTGTTTCGGTCCAAAAAGGCTACCCGACACTGATGAGGACCAAAAGTCCGAAACAGGCTGTCTGTCGGTGTCTGTTTCGAATCACATTCGAAATAAAAGCACAGTGAGCGAGGTAATTGTCATTTTCACATGTGCAGCTTAATATTAGAAATTCTATATAAAATCTTAGTGTAAAATGGCCTTAATTATATGGTTGACATTTTAGGTTAGTTTTAACTTGAGACATTTTTTTAGGGAAAATTGGTGGCCCTAATACAGATTAATAATCGTTTTAAACGTTGTGTTTCTTACAGAGGCGCTTGTAAGCCTAAAAGTGCTAAGAACAACCGTTTTACTCCTCTTTTGGTAAAAAACTGTCAAATTTCAATTTTAAGGTTAATTTATCATAACCTACAAATTTAAATTTAATGGTTTGATGAGGTCCCTACTGTATTTGTTATTTCCCTGTTAATACTTTCCCCATGAATACAACACCTCAAAAGTACCTTGGGTTACTAAATTAATGAGCTTTATTACCGTAAGTATTTATTTTATTTATTTGTCGTAATTTAACATAACATTTGCCGTGGTGTTATGTTTCATTTTATCACTTGGGGTGTAACTTTTACAGATTCTTTGCTGGGGGGGGGGTTGCACGCTTACAATACATGTTAGAAAAATAGTATTCTAATTTGTAAAGTTGCAAAAACAATAAGTTTTTTGGAAAACCACTTATTGAACGCTCTAGAGTAAGGGCTAAATTTGTGAAAAATCAAAGGAACACTTGACGAATTTTTACTCTTTATTAAAGAAGATCTAAAGTTGTCATAATGCAGTAGATTTTATAATTTGCATTTTTGTCAAGGTAATTTTATTTAAACTTGACCGTCATCGATATGCCTGGCTGGGCACCAAGTATGCGCTGAATTGCACAAGTCTTTTTTGAAACGATTGGTGCACTATTTATTTGTTAATGAATTTGTATATTTTATCTGAACTATTATGGTTCAAACTTGACCATCGTCGATATGCCCAGCTGGTCACAAAGTATGCGCTAAATTATATAAGTTAATCTTCTATGGAATTATTGGTAAGTACACTATTTATTTGTTAATGAATTATATTTATAATATTTTTTTTTACTCCCAGCTTTAAAATGCCCATTATAGTACATGTTTCCATTACACTAAGTGCCCTTTATGGCGTGTTAGTCACGGGCTGAAATAAGCAATAGGTTTTTAGTCACAACCTGAAGTTAGTTTTAATTTACTACTAAATGTTAAAATTATTTTATTATCTCAATATAAAAATAAAAAATTATTAAATACTTTCTCAACGCCAATATTTAAAAAGTTTATATTCAGTTGTACTGACCTTTTGATTTCGCTGGCAGTAAACTAGATTTAATTGATTTCGGGTGGAGTTCCTATAAAACATTATCTTTACTTTTACTGTGGTTAGTCCATTTTTAAGGGATGAATTTCGATTTACACGTAAAAAATTTTACATTTTGACCGGCGCGTGGTTAATAGAGATTCCCACACAAAACACGAGTTAGAATGGTTACTCTATTGTTGTATAGATTCGATTTTAAATTTTTATTATTTATTTTATTAAAATAAAAAAAATTAAAATGGTATAAAAACCTGTAATATTTGGATTTTTTAAATAAAATTTTAAATTTGTCGATAAATTATAGTAGATAATAAGTTGCACCACTTTGATTTGAATTGTCTCAAATAGGGGGGCCTGGAGGCTGGTGAGGCAACAGGAAAAACGAACTTTTCTTCGCAAACTTCAATTTAAATTCTGTTTGCTGCGAACTTGTTTATTTAATGTCATTATAAATTATTATAAATTTCGAGTGGGTCCCATGTCTAATAACTGAGATTTTGGTATACATAAAATCCACCGGCCGCCACTATACATTGTATAATAATAATAATAATAATTATTTGAGTACCCTCATTTAAAGTTATGCTCTACATGATTGTAAATTACGAATTTTATTTCTATAAATTAAAATTATATTATACACCATTTTAATTTTAGCAAATAAAGGTATATTCTAGTAGAATAATTCTACATCGATTTAAATACTTGAAATATTTCCATATGGAAAACATTGCAAGTTAAAATAATATTTAAATAAAAATTATACTATTTGTACACGTATTAAAAATATTTCGTTGAATTAAAATTCAACATCAACACCTTTTTAAGTAATTTTTTGTAATAATTTTTATTTTGATCTTAGAAACATATGTATATGTAAAATATTATTGAAATCTTTCAAAAAAGTCATTCCGTAGCGACAAAAACACATCATGGCAGTGGCTTTGTTATCTCAAATATAAAATGGAATTTAAAAGGGTGCCTTAGGTCAAAGGTTAGTAAATGTTATTGGACACTGAGTAAAACTTAGAATGAAAAAAATGATATGCAATAAATAGTGTCCAAATCAACAATAGATCGTAATCGTAATCTATTTTCTGCAGCAAACCATATTTTAAAACTTTAATTAATGGATTGGGTATTATACTGTCTTTAAGCCGACACAATATAAATAATGCACCCATAGTAAATTAAATCGATTTATTTAAACTGCATGGCATAGATAATTATTGGTAGGTCCGGTCTTTCGGTTTAGGCCAAGGACCTTTAGTTCACGCCGGGCAATCTTTATTTAATCCAATACTTATTTTTAATAAATCCCTATCTAAATTCATTTATTTATTCAATAAATAGGTTAAAAGCATACATACCCAAATAAAAGCTTATTTTTAGAGTTTCTAAAAATGTGGGCATCTCAAATTAGAGGAGATAGATTTGCAAATCTATCATAATCTTAATTAATTCTAAATTGCTAAACCATGCATAAGTGCGCATGTTTCTCGATAATTAAAAAAAAATTGAGGGTATTTTGAAAAGAACATTTTACCATAGCATTTTAATATTTTAGTAGGAATACGAACATTTTTTTGTACATAATATTTCAATTCTAAATACTCATTTTTAGGTTTAGGTATATACAAAGGCCTATTAAAAAATAGGCTATAGCCCTATAGCACTATAGCCCTATGGCCTTGTATATAAGTAAAATGCGTTTTCAAGTACAAAACTACAATTTTTATTTTTTACATAAGACTGTAGGTATAGGATGTTATTTCTGTTTATTTAATATAATCTAATTATAATAATTATACATTATGTAATTAATTTGTTTTATGGCTAGAATTTAAGCTTTTTAATATTATAAATAGCATACAGTTGTTATCATGTATACCATACAATATATGGCAATGGTTCTTAATTATCTAATTAATTTTATATATGTGTAATTTAATAATAGATCCATTAAAATTAAATATAAAAATGTCGTTATAAAAAGAAAGTATTAGTTGTAATTCCAGTTCATATTACTAAATTTAACTTGTAAAATATTTGTGGGCTTAACAATATATCAATAGTAGGTATATTATGTATCAACTTTTATAAAAGCCATTTTAGTTACGAGTTCTATTTTGCACGAGCAAAACTTGCTAGCAAGTGTTTAATAAAAACGAGTGTCTTAAGAAGTTTATAAACTAAGTTTTATTGTTTAATATTTTAAATCTGACAAATTTAACCTCACTTTTTCGCAATTTATAATAAGGCCAATTTCAGCACGTGACTAAAATGCCCAAAAGCCACTATTACTAACTTCAGCCAGTGACCACGTTACACAAATACCGGTATGCTGGTTATAAATCGAAAACTCGTATAATAATTATTTGACTTTTATAAACCATTTGACCATGCATGATTAGGTATACTTAAAAACATAATTTTGTTTTAATTTGATTCTTGAAATAATAAGAATTAAAAAAAAACTCGTGAATATTTTTTTAAGTAGGAAATATCAATGACACAATTTAAATAAGTTATTAAATTATTAAGTGAGGTATTTTAAATCCAGATATACAGGCATATATATTTAAATAAATATTAAATAAGGTTGTTTTAAATTAATTCTTAAATATTACCTTAATAATTAATTTATTTGTACCAATAGATAAATAATTATTTACAATTTGTTGACATTACTAACAAGTGTTATTATTCATACTATTTTCCCACGACGGTGACATATATTCATTGACTGTTACAAAAGATCTTGTTAATATTTATTTTAAAGTGGTAATAAATACATAATTTAAAATGTATCATAAATCATTTACTTAAATTGTAAGATAATTTATCTGATTGTGGTTAACTTAACTTAAGAATTAATTAACATTTAAGATTTGTAATTATTTTAATGCAAAAAAATTACCTATACAAAATCACTATGAATCATAGATATCAAAATTTATTGATTTTGACAATGCAATGAATTATTTTTTAATCTGTTGATATGCCAACAAATAGTAAATATCGAATCGTAAATATTAATTCACATTGTTACCTTTTTTAACCTACATAGTATGTAGTACATACCATGTATGTTTAGATTTTAAAGATAAATTTGATTTGTCATTTCAATCCAGTGGCGTTTTTAAACAAATAAAAAGTTCAGTAAAAGTTTATGTATATAAGTTATGAGGGGGACCAAAGAATACTAAGAAGAAGAATACTAAGAATACTAAGCTTGTAGTGCACGAAACACTCTAAACTTTAAGCCTTATTTTCAATATAGTTATTTTGTCATGGTCCTTTCTTCTCATTACACTTCAATCTCTTAGTGAGCATATTGCAGTTGTTATAACAAGACCAAAAATTATAAATAGTTACGCCACTGGTTTCATTGCAAACTTATCAATCGATAACCTTAAACTCTTATATTAAAATGACACCCTTACTTTC